GAGTCTTTACATTCAGTAGAAAAGAATACAACTGTTAACAGAATCTGGGTTCAAACAAAGCACTCATGTTTAAGAAAGATCCTCTCTACGTTCTGCATATAGAATACGATCTTGATAAGTTTCTACAAAACACGGTCGTTGCTCAAATCTGTACTGTTCATGTTGGGTGTCATTCGTAGTACTTTCATGGTACATGGATATTTCGCGACCATCCGGTTGGGGTTAAATAGAAATATTCGCGTTTAACGTGTTGAAAACATGTGTCTACGGGATGAGGGACTGTATATAGGGTTTTATCAGGACATTTGATCCTACTGAAGCAAGATCGCAGGATTAAGCTCCTGTTAAAATGGCCCCAACAAATAAGATCTGTCTTTGAAGCAAATAGGCTAAGCATGACTTCGGTTTCGTTTGGCACACGTCACTGCACACGAATGAGTGTAAGTAGATTAAACTCTGCAAATGGACGAGGAATGCTATAGTGGAATATCCGGAAGAAAATAGCTATCCACAAGTAAGGAAAAATCGATAAAATAACGTGTCAGTTATTACTGTAAAATAGTAACCACTCAGAGTCCAAAACAACGAACTAAAAATTCGGGAAGGAGATGCTTCTTTAGGATCAAACAATTGAACTCAATTTACCACGGAAAAACAAATGTTACACGTTATAATGCAAATTTTGTTCAATGATTGTGTTTTTGCAAGAACTTTTATGCGTCATGGGTCTGCCATTGAGGCCTCAGTGACTTTCAAGACGAAAAATATCGTTAACTAGATGTTTAAATTTTTGTTATTGGTATATTAAGTAACAAATGAATTTAAATCGATAGCTTATATCTAAACAAATATGGACATTAGTTTTATTAGAGCATAATTGATGTAAGTATTAGATTAATGGACATAACGTATCTTCAGCGCGTTTTTAACTTTTGCTTTTGCTTTAAACGCCCAACTTGGCTGTCTATCTTCCAGAGTGGAGAGCATTGTGCAAGAACTTGTTCGATTCGGCCTCTAGAAACCACTTTGCAAAATACCGAGGATACCTAAGATGAATTCGAATCTACTGATAATAGGGTAAGCTCAAACTATCTATATCAAACATTAAGGCTTTTTTCTTTTGCGAACAACACTTTGAAGTTCGGGAACAAGGGACATAAAACTAACTTAAAATGCAAAGGTTCAAGGCAAAATCGATGCCTTATGTTAAGGAAAGTTTAAGCCATACGACAGTGCAACTGATTAAATTATGATTACTGCTGAATACAAAATCTTGATAATAAATAATTATCAGAAAACCATAAGAGGTGAGGCCAACAAAAATTCATTGATAAAGTGGACAGTTAAATGAAAGTTTCAATTGAACAGGAATAAAAGCAAATAAACGGAACACGCGACATCTGTAGTAAAGACAAGTCAGTCAATGAAATACAAGGCATTTGTGCATACATCACTGAGAGAGAGAGTGTGTGTTCTAGTTAAAGAAACAGATAACCATAATTTAGGCAAACTATGTACGAAGGGGCACAGTAAGCACAGCTCCAGCTTGGACCAGAGCTGGCTATATATTACATCACATAGGAGAGAATGGCCAAGTTTGGCTGTACCATAATTTTTGGTCGGAAATCACATCCATCAAATACGAGTCTAAATATTCACGCGCCCCATGATGGTATAGCGCGCGTAGGAGAATCTGAATTGTGACTGGTAGAAGGCTATTCGTATTCGATCACAACCGAGAGAATAGGCCTCTTTTGTATCAGTTTGAAGAGCCCACTCCTCAACCAGAGTAAGATTCACGTTTCAACGTCTACCCGGGCCAGTATCAAGGTTTGGCTGGTTGCCAACTTCAGTCAGCTATGACCGTTCCTCCTTCTCCTCATGTGATCGCCCATGGTGGCTCCTGACCATCGTTGTAAAGCAAAGCCTGATAGGGTTGGAAGTCAATTCCCCGGAGGGATATTGCGATCGATGAGAGAGGGCATTGTCTGCTATAAAAAGCGATAAATGCAGGAGACCGTTTGGAAACTGATCGTCTGACGTCTATTTCCGATCAGAGTAAGCAGAAAACGAAAAATCACCCGCTAAATTTGGATTGTAATGCATGGAAACAAATTACGGAATTAGGGGCAGATGAAAGGGAAGGAATACAATACGGTGGCATATGTAAACAAACATGTGATTTAAAAACACACGAACGTTAATCTGGCTCTATAACGGGCTTCCTGCCCGATAATAGGTGTATGTGGAAAACAACTACACAGACTCTGGCTGTTGCAGGCTTTGGATTTGCATTGTATGATTCACTTACGTCAATGAACGATCCGCTTGTTCAAAAAGAATGCGTAAGAGAAAATTGCCAGGTTGGTCGGCCGAGTAGGTACAGGGAATGAGGAGGTAGGCACCTGGCGAAAACCTGAAGCGTTTGACTACTTCACGGGAATCGTAAAAAAAGTCTACGCTGGCGATATGGCTAGTGGTTTCGAAGAAGCTTCTGGTCATTGGCGGTGTTGCTCCAATCGGAAGCTGTGAAAGGGAAATAAATAAAAACAGAGGCTGTAGGTCCAAAAGACATGTTATTTAATTTTTACAGATCCCTTATATGTATTTTCCTATTAGAGTGAATATTGTTGTTTTTAAAATAATTTGCCAGACGAAGAAATCCTACTTAACCATTCAAGGATGACCCTTTGTGCAAGCCAGTTCTTTGCAACCCAAAAAGAAGTTCATGAGGAATGAAAAAGAGACATAAAATAGCCGCCAACGATCAGTAAATGCATGTCCTTCGCGTACAAATCCGAAAGAAAGAAGAAGAAGAATGCTATATTGAGGATTTTACAAACCTGAATTT